AGATGTGGAGTGTGTGTGTGTGTGTGTGTGTGTGTGTGTGTGTGTATGTAATGGAATATTATTCAGCCATAAAAAAAGAATGGGATCTTGCCATTTGCAACACAGATGGAGCTAGAGAGTATAATGCTAAGCAAAATAAGTAAGTCAGAGAAAGACAAACATCGTGGAATTTAAGAAACAAAGGAAAAAAGAGAAAGAGACAAACCAAGAAACAGACTTTTACTATAGAGAACAAACTGATGGCTACCAGAGGGAAGGTGGATGGGGGGATGGGGAAATAGGGTATGGGGATTAAAGAATATAGTTACCATGATTAAAAAAAATAACATTAAAAAATTTTTAAAGTGTATAAAATAATACAGAAAAAAGATATATTTATATAATTATGTAATCGTTTTTTTACATACTTACATATTTACCTTTCCAGTGCTTTTCATTCTTTGTATAGATTTGTTAATGTCTGATGTTATTTCTTTTCAGTTTGAAGGAATTTCTTTAGTAAATTCTTAATGCAGATCCGCTAGCCACAGGTTTTCTTAATCTTTTTAAATTTGGTAATGTTCTTATTTCACCTTTTCTCAATTTTATTGAGATATAATTGACAAGAATAAATTGTATATATTTAAAGTATACAACTTGATGTTTTGATCTACATTGTGAAATAATCACCACAGTCAAGCCAATTAATATATTTGTCACCTCACAGAGTTAACCTTTTTTTTCCCCTTGTTTTTGTGGTGATTATACTTAAGATCTACCATCTTGGCAAATATAAAGCCTACAATACAGTATTGTTAACTATATCTACATCTTTATACATTAGATCTCCAGAACTTGTCCATCTTGTCTAAATGCAACTTTATACCCTTTGACCAACACTTCCCCATTTCCCCCTTCAGCCCTTGGCCCCCATCAGCCCTTGGCCCCCATCATTCTACTCTCTGCCACTATGAGTTTGACTACATTAGATTTGAACAATAAGTGAAATCCTATAGTAATTGTCTTTCTGTGCCTGACTTATTTTGCTTAAGATCATGTCCTCCAGGTCTTTTTTTTTTTTTTTTTTTTTTCATTTTTTTGTTGGCTATAAATTTTTTGGTTGACTTTCCCCCCCCCCCCCCAGTATTTGAGTATATTGTTCTGTTGTCTTCTGGACTTCATGCGTTCTCATGAGAAGTCAGCCCTTAGTTGTATTTCCCTGTATGTGATGAGTCATTTTTTTCTGGCTTCTTTCAAGATTTTCTCTTTATCTTTGGTTTCAGTCATTTGACTAGGTGTCTGTGGATCTCTTAGTCATTATCCTGTTTGGGTTCTTTGAACTTCTTGGACATGTAGATTAATGTTTTCCATTAAATTTAGGACATTTGAACAATTATCCAAAATTACTTTCCTCCTTTCTCTTACTCCTGTCCTTCTGGGACTCCCTTTACCTACATGCCACTACAGTTGATGTTGTCTCACAGCTTTCTGTTCATTTTTCTTTATTCTTTAAACATGGTTACCTGAAGTTCCTTGAATATATTTATAATAGCTGTTTTGAGGTTGTTTTTGTCAACTAAACCTCACATAGGAAAACTAAGAGACAATTTCTGTTGACTACTTATTTCTCCTGAATAGGTGTCACATTTTTCTGTTTATATATCTCAACATTTTTGTTGAAAAGTGGACATTTTAAGTAATACATTGTAACAAATCCAGATTCTGATTTTTACCTAGGGGAAGGGAGGGAAAACTGGGAAGATATCAGAGAGGGCGATAAACCATGACAGACGCTTGACTCTAGGAAACAAACTGAAGGTTGTGGAAGGGGAGGTGGGTGGGGGCATGGGGCAACTGGGTGATGGGCATTAAGGAGGGGAGGGCACATGATGTGATGAACACTGGGTGTTATATGCAACTAATGAATCATTGAACACTACATCAAAAACTAATAATGTGTTGGCTAATTGAATTTAAAAAAAAAAATACTCCCTCAACTAGGGCTCTTCCTGTGAGTAATTCAGACACTGCACAGAGACTAATCATTAACTCTGAAATCATTGAGGAATTATTTAGAATGCAAATCCTTTTTTAAAAACCTAATAGTGCTGCCCAAGTGTTAATTCATCTTATCAAAGGGATGAGGAACTGGGCAGATACAAATAGATGTGTGATGACTATGTAGAAAGAGTCAATGATGACATACCTTGTCTCTGATCTACACTTTTTTAAGAGGTCCCTTTTTATGTGTGACATTCTGTAACTTAATTTTTCCTATTTATGACATTCTAATGTTATTTAATTGCCAACCATCTGGATTTGCTGTGAGTATGAATCAGGTTTTTTAATATAATTAAGCCAGCTTATCTGTCACCCATTATAATTAATCCATTTTATCTCAATTACTTTTCCATTTCCAGAGCCAATCATCACATATTAATACAAATACAGGAAAATCTGAGTCATTTTTGTAACGTAAGTAATAACACAGAATGTCAGATATGTGCATACGCTCCCTTCACACTTTGGGGAAGGTTCAACATAATTTGGTAAAATACGTTAGTGTTCTGCCAGAAACACAGAAACCAAAAAAGAAATCAGTATTTCAGTTCTCATTCACTTACTTCGTGAACCATAGTCTTGATTCTGTATCCATCCAAGGACAAATTGTAATGTAGCAAGCCCTTCTGTTTCTGGTGGTAATTACAGGGAAGCATTGCCTGTCAGCTCATTCTGGTCACTGGTGCATGTGTGGGGTTTTTTCATTCACTTATTTCTTAATTGAGCACAACTCCGATCACTGGGGATGTAGCAGTAAATGAGACAGAAGAAGGTTGTAACACTTTTTGAGCTCACTTTGTAGTGGGCGAGACCCATAGTAAACGAATAGCAACGGTAGTGATGAGTAATGTGCAAAGAATTTGAAAGGCGACGGGACAGAGAGTCGGTTCTGTAGATGGAGGGCTCAGAGAGGTCTCTCTGAGGAGGTGGCTCTAAAGCTGATACCTGATTGACAGGAGACGCCATGAGCTGATCACCAGCATTACAGGAGGAAGTCCTAGCTAGAGTGAAGGCCATGAGTAGGTGTATAATCTTCGAAGTGGTTAAGAGATCACTTTGGGAGAGGGAGAACGTTCAAAGTAAGGAGTGTGGATTTCATTCCAAGTGCCATGCAGAGCTGCTGGAGGGCTTTATGTGATCTGATTTGCGTTTATAAAAGACCAGTCTGGCTTCTCTGTGGAGAATGGATTAAAGGGGGTAAGAATGGGAACAGGGAGGAAGAGTCCAGATTGAGAGGTGAGATCAGCATCCCTTAAGTACTCCATGAAGTTATCCTATGCATCATTTTCGAAGATTGATTCTTTGCACCGTTGCAGATTTCCTATGGTTAGAGCAAACTATGGAGTACTCTAGATTCAAATGGCTCTCTAGATTCAAGTCCAGTTTCTCCAACTTAGAGGTCATAGAACTTCGGGCAAGTCTCTTAACCCCTCTGTATTTCAATTTCCTCTTATAAAAACAATGGAATAGTGGGGCGCCTGGGTGGCTCAGTCAGTTAAGTGCCCGACTCTTGATTTCAGCTTGGGTTGTGATCTCAGGGTCGTGGGATTAAGCCCCATGTTGGGCTCTGCACTCAGCACAGAATCTGCTGGAGATTCATTCTTTCCCTCTTCCCCCTCACTCAGCTTACGCTCTCGCTTTGTGAATAAAATATTTTTTTAAAAATGGAATAGTAATTTTACCTATTCATAGAGTTGTCAGAAGTAACTAAGAAAATACACATAGGAATACTTAGTACATGCTTATAGTAAGCACTCAGTAAATATTACTATATTTCTGTCTTATCGTACTATGCCACATTCAGATGGCAGTACCTAGTAATGAGTTACGATTAACATTTTTAAGAAATAAAAAAATTTGTTCATGTGTTATTTTGATACTATTTCAGCATCTCTTAATCCTGTTTGTTTAATTTGTAATAGTATAATCATGTTGTTATAATATGCATATTATTCCCAACTTCCGCATCTGGTAGTATTTGTTTATTTTTAAAGTGACTTCTGTTATTTGTGTGTTAAACACCTGTAGCCTTCTAGAGAGATTGATTGAATATTAATCACCTTTATTGTGAAGTTAATGTTTTCAGCCCTTAAAGCGGGATGAAGGAGGCTGGGCCTTGGATCCTGAGATTATATAGATCATGTAAACACTGAGTATATGGCCTCCACCAGGGCCATGACAACACATGGGCACTGCTCAAATGCATCACTCCTCTCCTTGGTCCTCCTGCTTTGGACTTCGGGTCTGTGTTGGATCTATGGCTAGAAAAGACCCTATCCATTTAGACCATAGGGTAGTCTAGAAGCTTGTAGTGAGTCTTTGGTTTCCCCGTAAACACTGGTTTCTGTCACTTTGTCAGGCTAGCTTGGAAGCTGGCTCCCACGATTTGTCTTTCCTCACTACTGTGCTGATTGCATGGATACTGTACTGAATTTTGCAAAAGTCGAATTATTTCTAAATACTATAGAAATGATGATAGAGATTGGATAGTATTTGGAATCAGTAACTAAATTAATGTGCATGTGTGATGTGTGTGTGAATTGGTAACTTTTACACGTCATGGGGCTAAAACACCTGATAGCCAGTAGCCTTATGATTTTTCCTTCTGCCTCTTCCAAAGACTGCATGGTCCGGCTACTTAAGAGATTCATGGGAGCGTCTGTGTAGGCATAAAGACTCAAATGTGAATTCTCAGCTCTGCCGGCCCACACGGAACTGACCGGTGGGGCTCCCATCCATCCCACAGGCTCTTACATCTGGTAGGGGGCTCTCTGCTCCCCCTGCTCTGTTAGGAGCAGGTTCCCTCCTTCCCCCCAGCAGTCAAATATCCTGTCATTTCACAACCAGCACCCAACTGGATTATATTAATGTTAATATTAATTTGTAAGCTTACATTTTTTTCCAGAAATACCTATGTGTGGACATAACTCCCTTTCTCTGTGTTTGTTTTTCTACCACAGACACGGGAGCAGAAAGACAGGCACTAAGAGAAAATGTGTATCCTAAATTGAGAGAATTCTGCAGAGAAAACTATGGATTAGAATTTCAGGTAACTCTGATATTAATTCCATTTTTAATTATGGCAGCTGAATAATGTTTGTGCTTGTTTATTGTCACAACTTCGGTGTTCTAAACACGTTTCAAGCTCTGAAAATTTTTATTTCTTTAAGCATGGGTAAAAAGGAACACTGGAAAATGGAAAATAAAATATTTAGTCCTTTGGGGGGCGCCTGGGTGGCTCAGTCAGTTAAGCATCTGCCTTCGGCTCAGGTCATGATCCCAGGGTCCTGGGATCAAGCTGCATTGGGCTCCCTGCTGAGTGGGGGAATCCGCATCTCTTGGCCTTCCTGCACCTCTCCTTCTGCACTCTCGCACGCGCATGCTCTCTTTCTCTCTCTCTCTCTCTCAGATAAATAAAATCTTAAGAAAAATATTTAGTCATTTTTGGTGCTTTGCACTTTTATGCTTTCTTGGCCTCTGTCTGGTATTGGCTCATCTTCTCCTTTTAACCATGTTTATTTGCTTCTCGGCAATCTCTACTGTTCTCAGGAAGGTGAAGGTTGCTGAGCACATGCCTATAGGCTGTGGTCTCTAGAAATGGTTTGCACCTAAAAATTGGGACCAGCTTTCTCCCAGGTGTTTTCTTTTAGCAGCCTGGCCAGCCCTTGCCTTCTAGCTTGCCTTTTAGATTTTGTTCACATTGTAGAATGTCCCTTTTCCTATGTCAGGGATCTGCCATTTACCCAAAAAAGAAAAAAAAAATCAACCTTTCAAGAGACAATAACTGTGCGTGTCATTGCTAAAGTTCATGAATACCCTGGTATTTGTAGACACCACTGATTTTACCACCTTTTCTTTTAAAAGTACTAGAAAACATTGGGCATATCTTGAACATCCCCAGATTTAAAAAGTAAATGGCTCCTGGAACAGATAACATTATTCAGTCAAAAGTGTTCAACCTCATTCACAACGGACATCTTAACTCTGCAGTGCTATCTTAACTATATGTTTCCATTGGTAAGTCAGGAATATGTACCAGAGATTTGTGGTTTAAGAGTACAAAATGCATCTTTGTTAGTGGAAGAAAATTCCACCTTTCATTTATTTCCTCCTGAATATTTTATCTTAGTATACTTCATGATGCTTTCTCGTGTGATGTGTAAAACAGTTGGTCTCAAAATGGCTTCCATCTCCTACTGCCTCCTGTCAGTGAGCAGCAGGCCATTATGACACACATATTGAAAAGTTACTCATAAGTCACCATTTGCTAGATAAATGGTGAGCCTAAATTAAATTCCTTGTTGCGAATTCAGCCCTGCCTTCTCTGAGGAACCTGGTTCTACTAATAACAGAGTCTCAACTGTTAAAAAAAATTCTGATCTGTCAAGATTCCCAAAGACTTGGACACTCCTTGGGGACTCAATTACCGTGGAGGAAGAGATGTGTCCAAGCATGTTAATTCCATCTTTGAGTTTGTTTGGATATGCATCATTTTTTTTTTTAGTAGAGGTAGGAATTTGTTGAGCCACAGACCAGCCTGCATAAAACATGGTATTCAGATTAGCTGAGAGGAAAATAAAGAAAAATATATTTTCTAAATTATAAGTAGGGCCAGGAAAAGACTGATAAAGCCAGAGGAAAGCTGTAGAAGTCAAGGTCCATGGAATAAATTGACAGCAAGGATCATTCTAGGCAGGTGCATTGAATGCGTCATTGAGATACCGGGCAGCAGTGGAAACCACACTGGGCAAAGGAAGTTGGGACTGAACCCCCAGCTTTCCACTGTGACTCCCTCAGTCAGTGTCCGAAATGGGAGTGGTGACCGCTTCATATCTAAGGTTGTGTTTGGAATAAAAATATGCAGGGTTGCATTTATTTCCCACCTTCTGAGCTTAACGGGAGCTCAAATATATATGTCATACTTGAATCTTCTAAGAATATACTTTTTAGTATAGTCTCTTCTAGTCAGTTGATTATAGACCTTCCTGAAGATGTGTTTTCTAGTGAGATGGTTCTCCTTTCTCAACTGCCACAAAATAAAATGCTGGAATCTAAATTAAAAAAAAAAAAAAAATAGTTTACCTGTATAGTACTCTGGATTTCATCTTTGGCTCTGCATTGAACCCAGAAGAAATGAATTTCCTACAGTTACCCAAACATATACCAATCCCTTTTAAGCTTCCTTGCCTTTGTTTATGCTGTTCTTTCCACCCACAATGCTCTGCAACCTGCTTCTTCCCCTGCCACCCTTGAAGTCCTACTCATTCTGAAGACTCTTCCTATAGATCCTAAGGCCCCTCTCTTTCTGACTACAACCCTGTAGCTAAATATTCTCCATGTGGCTCACCCTTGAACACTGCAAGCCCATTCCCATTTAAGGGCTTTGTCCTGGCTGTGCGCTCTCTGTAGGAATGTTCACTCCCTCATCTTCTTCACATGGGAGCTTTCTTTTTGCTCTCCAGGTCTCCACGAAATGTCACTTCCTAGAGATGCTTCCCTTGTAACCCAATCTAAAGGAACCACCTAGAGGATTTCTTTTACATCACCCTATTTTTATCTGCATAGCATGTGTGAATATTGGATATTTTGCCTTTTTCATCTATTGGCTTGCTTATTGTCTCTGTCCCACTAGATTATAAGTTTCACAAGAACAGGGATGTGTCTGCCTTCGTGACAGCTACATTCCTAGACCTGGTATAGTGCCTGACATGTAGCAAAACTCTTATGGGAATGTGTTGAACAAGTGAATGCCTTTCTGAGCATATGAATGAATGAAGTCTCAGTCCAAACATTACTTGCTTAAGGAAGCTATCTCTGAGCCCCTGGTTCCTACTAGGTTATGCCATGTACCCACCTTTTTGCTCCCCTATAATCCCAGGCATAACTCTCAGTTATGCATCCAGTTTGTTCAAGAAGTACTTGTTGACCATTGAGCACGTGCCAGGCAACATCCCAAGTGCTGGGAATACAAAAACAAACCAATCAGACCCTCTTCTTGTGGAGCTTCCAATATTGTTGGGGAGGCAGACAACAAACAGTAAATCCTCAGTGGTGATAGATGTGTTTTATTGAGTAAATGCTTTTAGGAAAAGTAAGACAGGATATGGGGGTTAGGGAGTACCAGGTAGTCAGAGAAGGACTCAGTGATAGGACAGCCTTTGAACAGAGATCTGTAGAAAGTGATGGAACAAATCATGCAGATGCTTTGGTAGGAGAAATCCGGGTATAGGCAACCAGGAAAAGGGTCTGAGGTGGGAGCATGTTCAGAATATTCTAGGAACAGTAAAGAAGCCAAGTGTCGGTGGAGTGGAGTAAGAGAAATAATTGCAGGAGAGGACATCACATTCAGATCACATGGGACATTATGGGCCAAGATTAAGGACTTAGAATTGTCCTGAGTGAGAAGGGAAAGGAGGACATTACAGGACTTGTGTTCAAGAGAGTCACTCAAGCTCTGTGAAGGGACGAGAATGGGGGAAGGGAATGGTAGAAGCAGGAGGGATAATGCAAGTTAAGAAATGATCATGGCATGGTCTAGAGCCAGCGATGGAGAGGATGAGACATCTGGTGAGGTGACATTTTCATCACCTGTCTCTAAGGTCTCAAAGTTCTCAGGACTGGACTTGTGTCTTCCTCGATGTGTCCCAGTGATAAGTCCAGTATCTGGCACGTCGTAGACCGTTGAGTTAAATATTATTGAATTGGTAGAATATGGAGTTACATTTGACACAAGGCCTTCTAACGTTGTCTCTCTATATGCCTGTCGGGCAGGCTGTTCTCTAGTGTTTTCTTAATTTTTTTCATTTTAAACGAAGATATTTAATGAAAAAGCTAATTAGACCCTCTGATTATGAACGCCAGGTAATTCTGTGTGTGATCCACATGGGTCGGTTGTTGTTGCTCGGAGATGGAAACAACTGAATGGGAGGAACATCAAGCTCACCCAGAGCAGAGAACACACGTGGCTTCAGAAAGACGAGGTGTTTAAATAATAGGGTGTTTGACTTGCCAGTGTTCGGTTAATGCCCTTGGTTATGGAGAAAAGGATAGAAAGGGAGCCCGAGGGGAATAAAATGGGAAAAATACAGACAGATTGGGGCAAAAAGCCGGCGGTGCGGGACCCAGTGAGTAAAGGACTTGTAATTCTACCCACAGGTGCCATCCGCTCTTGCTTTCTGAGGTTTCTGCTCCATTCCCGCTGCCGGGACTCTGGTCTAACCCTCATCGCTTCAAAAATTGGATATGTGAAAAGCATCCTAACTGAGCTTGTTCTCCACTTACTGCCAATTGGTTACAAGTTGTTGAGGAAGAGACTAGTTTTCACTTATTTGTAAGTTTCCAGGGCCTGAAAGAGTGTTTAATATTTAGTGGGGTTTAGTAAAAGCTTGTTAAGCAGAACTGCCTACACCATCGCCCTGCCTGAGTTTTTCTACACATCACCACCAGAGCAATCTTGACGTAAATGTCATGTTGTCAGGTCCTTTGCTTAAAAGCTCTTAATGGCTCCCTGCTGCCTACGGGGGTCGCTCTTTACTGTGACTCAGCTGTCTCTCCAAGTTCATCTCCCATTCTCCCCGACACAAACAGGCACTCCAAGCCTGTCCTCTTGGAGCACATCTTGTGGATTGCTCATTCTTGACTTTCTTATCAGAAATACCCTTTCTCGGAGTGCTTGGATGGCTCGGTCAGTGAAGCATCTGCCTTCCGCTCAGATCATGATCGTAGGGTCCTGGGATCGAGCCCCACATCGGGTTCTCTGCTCAGTGGGGAGTCTGTTTCTCCTTCTCTCTCTGCTCCTCTCCCCACTCATGTGCACATGCATGCGTACTCTCTTTCTCTCTCAAATATATAAAATCTTAAAAAAAAAAAAAAATGTACCCTTTCTCTTCCTCACCCCGCTCCCAACCTCAAAATCCAGCTCAAGGCCTAGCTTTCTCAAAAAGTCTTCCCCACTTCTACTCTGTAAACTCTTATAAATCCACCCCACCCAGCCCCCACTGGTAATCTGACTCAAGAGTAAACCCAGTTAGTGTAGGAACCTCTAACTGG